ATATATAAAATACTTAAGGGGTTTTAGTATATGACTATAGTTTACTTTTAATTGTGCAGATTTCTGTTGGTATAGTCTGCTTCGTTTCCCTCTTGTTCACGTACCAGGATTAGTGAGCTGTTGTCATCATTTGAGAAAGCACTTGCTAATGCCAGATAATGAGGAAATTATGGGGATGTAAAAATGAGGATGCCTGTGGAGGAGATAGTCATTGGCCATTGCTTTGTAACTTTATTTTTACGAATGCTTCAGTAACAGTATGTTCAGGGTGTTCATGGAAACAGATGAGGGAGATGAGGCAGTGTATAATGAGGTCTGGAGAGAAAACCAAGACCTTTATGTGTTTTTGTAAAAATATTTATGAAAAAAGCATCTTCTAATTAAAGACAATTTAGCATATTTGAGAAAAAGCCTTTCCAAAGGGCTTCCTTAGTACGGTAAGAGTTATTAACTTAGGGGGCGCCTGGGGGGCTCAGTCAGTTGAGTGTCTGCTTTTGGCTCAGGCTGTGATCCCAGGGTCCTGGGATTGAGCCTCACATCAGGCTTCCCTGCTCAGCTTCTCCTTCTGCCTCTGCCGCTCCCCCTGCTTGTATGCTCTCAAATCTTTCTTCTGTCAAAAAAAATGGATAAAATCTTAAAAAAAAAAAGTTATTAACTTAGCCACTATTAATATTTTGGAATATTATTTGCTTACTTCCTTTCTGTTTCACAGATTTATATTGCTTACCACTTGCTAAGAGTTGGAAATGTCTGCTAGACAATGTGTGGAATCCCCCTGAAGTCAGTGCGAGGGCGCAGGGGTTTGGCTGAACACAGCCAGGCTGCAAAGCACAGTTCACACAGTGCGTGCCTGAGCATGGGACAGTGCGTGACCTGTGTGCGTGGCCGAGTGTGTGAGACTGTATGTGAGTGAGCGTGCAGGTGTGGGGGAGGGGTAGCCAGGCTCCTTCCTGAAGGTCTGGTCAGAAGAAGGAAGAAGCCATTTAAGGATTTTCAGCTTAGAAGAGAGATTGTAATATTGGTGTATGTAAAAGAGTCCTCTAGACTTCCGGTTTGCTTGGGATGAAGGCAGTCACCTGAATTTGCTCCCGTCCCCACTGCGTCCCCAAACCGTACAGGTCAGGTGCAGGTAGCTCGGGCCGCCTGTAGCTCGTGCATGCAGCACACAGGGGAGAAAGAAAACACTGAGCTCCAGTTTCTGTAGTGGGGAAAAGTACCCCACATGGCACAGTCAGCTCCAGAGCCAGGAGAGGGCACACGGATTTTCTCTCGGGATTTGGATCTGATGGAGGCTTTGGAGTTCTCTGAACTTACATGTATCTCGTGTGAGTTACTGCACATTCTTGATGGGAACAGTCCAGCTACCTGGCCTTTCGTGGCCTCCATTTGGTGTTTCTAACAAGATTTTATTTCACTCCTTTTAAATACATTCATAGTGAATTCTGGATTATTTTAGGAGAAAAAGCTTTATTATTCGTGTACGTCTTTCAAAAAGGAGGAAAGGAAAAACCATGCTAAATAACTGGTTTTCTAACTAGAAAGTGGAAATCATCAGTGTTAAGTGAGCATTTAAAGAAGTGACATCTGCATATATTCCTTTTCTAGAGTATGAACTACAAAGGAGAGCATACGTATTGTATTTCAGCCTAAGTAATTAAATAAGAATCAGAGCAAATTAATTCAGGTGTCCTGTGGCAATACATGTATTATGTATTCTGTTGCCTGAGCAGTGTCTAATTATGCACATTGTGAATAATGTCTGCTTCTGCTTACCCTATAATGTCAGGATAACCTCAGCTGCTCATTATATGACATTCGAGTAATATAAATGATTCATATTATTATTATTGATAGAATTGATTTGCTTATTGTTCAGGACCTAGCAATTCTCCCTGAGGTTTAGAGTTTAAAACTAGCCACTTTGAAATATTATCAGTGTTCCTAGGCCTTTAACATCGCCTTCCCATTTAATGTTCTTTATATGCACTTTCTGCTGTCATTTCTTCTGCAAACCATAGCACACTCATCATTGTTCAGGTCTTTTCCAATCAAAATACTCCCTTTCTAAAAAGCAGATCTCTGTTGTTTGTTAAGAGGGGTGCACTATTGTGAAAACAGCTTCACATGGTGACATTTTGCTTTCTCCCTCCCCAGAGCAGATTTCATCTTTGCAAACTGTGTAACATTAAGGAGAAGGAAACCCAGAGACAAAGTTACTTAGAGATAATTTCTTTCCCATCTTCCCAATCTTTATTGGGTACTATATGAGATTGGTAAAGAGCTATCTTTTACAGTAATTTTCTTAATATTAGAAAAAGTTTAATGTTTAAAGTCCATCATTGTTATTACAGAATTGAAAAGAAACTGCATAGATACTGTATGTTCTTCAATACATAATTGTGCTAGAAATAGACAAAATGAATTCACATGATTAAATAGTTGTAGAAAAGTAATGGGAGAACCAACCTAAGTTTCTAAAATGAAATTGTATTGAACCTTTTATTTGCAGTTTAGAAAGCCTTATAATAATAGAAAGACTTATAAAATTTACTATTTTAAAATATTTTATTTATTTTACAGAATGAGTGAGAGAGAGAGAGCACAAGCGGGGTGGTGGGGGGAAGAGCAGAAGGAGAGGGAAAGAACCTCAAGCAGACTCCCTGCTGAGTGCAGAGCCTGACACAGGGCTTGATCTCACGGCTCTGAGATCATGACCTGAGCTGACATCAAGAGTCGGATGCTTAATCGACTGGGCCACCCAGCTGCCCCATGTATATTTTTTAATGCCTTATTTTCTTGGAGTTTGACAGTGGGAAAATGTCGTACTAAAGGATATGCGTGCATTAATGTTTAGATGTCCATATGTAGGGACCCCTAGGAAGAGTTTCAAACTCATAAAATTATACTTATTTGTACTTTTGTGGTCACTTGATGATGGGCAGCTACAGGCAGGTTGGCCTAAGGGAGTGCTTCAGCTTAGAATAACAGCCGACTGCTGGCTTCCCACGGAGTGCAAAGATAAGGGGCGCTGGAAAGTAGAGGGGGAGCTCCACGTGTTTCTGCTCTTTGATTTCTTCAGTTACTGGGCAAATATGGGTGCCTACTCTGTGCTTGGTGCTCAGAAGATCCAGGTCAACACCATAGTTACATAGCTCACAGTCTGGGTCGGGGGGAGAGAAGCATGGAAATTGCCACGATACATGAAAATAATTCAGAGTTCACATTAGAGAATCATTTTATTTGTTTCGTACTTTAAATGATAAGTGTGTGAGTCAACAACTGGCAGGTTTTATACAAATTATATACTCCGTTTGCTAGGTTGTGGCTGTAACTCCTAGATTAACATATAATTGAAAGGTAAGCCATGTGGACCATATTTGGGAAATGGGAGTGAGTCTGCATAGGTTGTTCTCTGTCCAACAGTGTCTGTCAGGGTTGGATTCTAAGACCATCTCTCAATGGATCAGAAATTAGACATTTTAGTTCAGCTATAAATAAATTCAAGTACAAAACAGTTGATGCAGAGAGGCGACATACTTCTCTTTTGAATGTTGATGCTTTGTTCTGTAAAATCATAAAAGTCAAAGGGAAACTCCGTTTTCTTGGAGCATTTATTTCTCGGGTGGTTGTTACCTCTGCTTTGAACAGCTGCTTGGTTATAAACAGAGGGACCAAGCGGCAGCTCCCTTGCCTGGCATTTTCCCATGGAGGAATCGACCCACAAGCGCAGTACTTGCATACCGTTCTGTGTGGTTAAGACGCTCATGACGGTATGCCGGCTGCCGTGCGGGGCTCCGTCGGAGGCTGGCTGTGTTTGAACGTTTGTGGGCCTGTGGTCACCATTGCTGTGAAGCTGTATAAACTGAAGTGGTTACAAGTGCTCCAAAGTGTGACAGTCTTCTTCTGACAGAAACACTAGTGTTACTCTTCTGACTCTTCAAGTTGTTTCCCAGAAACACATTTTTAGTGGGATAGTGGAAGCCTAATGTTTTTTCTTCTTAAAGAATACTTTTCCATAGTATTTTGTGTATTGATGCCGTTATGTAATTATCAGTAGGTTTTTACAGCTACACCTACTAAATGCAGCAAAGTGTAGAACAGATTTTATTTGACAAACTATATTTG